TTCTATTCTATTCTATTCTATTCTATTCTATTCTATTCTATTCTATTATTTAGAAACCTCTAATACCCCTCACAGAGGGGTTCTGGGGTGTTTGCAAATAATATATTAAAGCATAAAAAACAGCATATAAAATTCAAGCCACGTTTCCTCATTTTTCGGACTGACTTGGCAACTGAAAGTGCTTCCCCCGGCTCCCTTGCCTCAAATTCTATTTATTGATCAAAAATGTTAACCACAACAAAAACAACATGTTGAATATTTCAGAACCACTTGGTGACCTTGTGGATGAACCAGGAATCAATGTTTTCACACAACAAATGGCAGGAAAGAAAGAAAAAAAACACATTTCTTTGTTTCTTATTCTATATCTTGGATTGGCTTAATGTGGTGAGAGGGAAATCAGCTAAATAAGCCAGATTCACTTAAGAACCGTCTTACCCAGTTAAAAAAAATGCAATGCTTCACTTAACAACTGCGGCAAGAAAGGTAGAAAAACGGGGCAAAACTCACTTAACCACCACCTCGCTTAGCAACCGACATTTAGAACTCTATTGTGGTTGTAAGTAGAGGACTACTTGTAATCTGGTTATAGAATGGTGGGTCTTCCTCGACTTAACAGCCATAATCGGTCCTGGAATCAAGAGTTGTAAAGAGGGCCAGTTATTCAGCGGGTTATCACGTGATCTGATTTGCCGACATTTTTTTGCGGCAGTGAGAAGAAAATGCCGGTGTCAACTCATAAAACATTTTGTATACACATTTTATAGTTGTCAACAGAAAGAAGGGGGGGGAGTTTCAAAGAGCAGGCGGCAGTGTGGAATCGAAAGTACATTCCATTCATATTTTCTTCAAATACTGATTAGATGACTGAAGCTTCTGCTATGCAAAAATCTAATTGGAGAGCATGATTGATGACTCTTGGCTATGGACGTGTTTTGTTAGATGATACACCCAGAGGGGTGGGGGGGAAAGCAGGATCAAGGGTGACAGTGAATTACGTATCTCAGAGTTGGCTACGCCCAGGTTAGTGCTGGACGTAGAATGTTAATTTCAAATAAATCCACTTTAGTTTTTGGGAGTGTGGCTCAAGGCTCATGATTTAATTGGAGTAACTGCTGGAATCCTGACAGCCAGTTTCTGGCAAGAAACAACAACAACCCATTATAAATCATGGTGACGTGACTGCAGGACACTGCAAATGGCCGTAAACGTGGGTGCATTGCTGAGTGCCCCAAAATGCAATCTTGTGACCACAATGTCATAACTCCAGAGCTTCAAATCCAAGTCATAAATATTTTTTCTTGGGGGGCGGTTTCTGTTGTAACTTCAAACAGTCACTAAGGGGTTGGACTAAATGACCTATAAGGTCCCATCCAACTCTGATTATCTGTTAGCTATTATCTGTCATAAGTTGAGGACTATCCGTCATGCATGTTCTGGATTCACACCATACACAGAACCGCATGCTTAACCAGGTATGGAAGTTTGCACAATGCATCAAGCCAGGATCAGCAGAAGTTGGTTAAAATACAAATTTAATCAGGATTAGTAGTGGAAAAATCTGCTGGGTTTTGTGCTAACCTGGGTTAGCAAATTGTGCGAACTTAACCTCTTTGTGTCTACTAAGAGAAAAACCTCTTCATGGTTTAATTAATAGGTTTGTCTCCAGATAAACTGATGCAGGGATATGGCTTAAAATAGATGTGTTATTTCCTGCAAACTTGAAACTGTCTGACAGGTAAAGTATGTAAATTAGCAAATCTCTACTCTAGACCACAGGAGGGGGGCAACTGTGGGCCGTTTTATGACTTGTGGACTTCAACTCCCAGAATTCCTGAACCAGCCATGATGGCTGGCCCAGGGAATTCTGGGAGTTGAAGTCCACAGGTTATAAAGGGGCCATAGCCTACACCTGGTTTACACTATCCCACAATTTTCATTTTTTGTCTTTTATAGTTTGAGAAAACTGCTAAATACCATGTTTCTCTGAAAACAAGACCTTATCTAATATTTTTTTGCCACCAAAAAAAGGCACCAGGTCTTATTTTCGGATGACGTCATCTACTGACTAATCTCACTTGCGCGCATCGCCCCCGGCCTCCTTTTTGCTGTCAGAGGCCTTCAGGAACTTCTTCTTCTGCGGCTGGTAAGGCTTTCCTGAAGGCCTCTGCAGGTGATAGCAGAGCTCTGGATCGATCCAGAGCTTTGTTATCAGCTCCAGAGGCGTTCAGGAAAGCTGCAGAAGAAATGAGCCAGCAAGGCAGGTGTCGGGGTGTGCGAGGCCTGGCTACAACTGTCCAAAGTTAAGTAGTAGGGTAGCTCCACCCACCCACTCATCCCTACCCTAGCTTAATTTTTACCTGTCCACTCTGGAGTGAAAGGGATCTGAATTAGGGCTTATTTCGGGGGGTAGGGCTTATATTGGGTGCACGTGTAAAAATCAAGCTAGGACTTATTTTCAGGGTAGGTCATATTTTAGGGGAAACAGGGTAATAAATAATAATAAATTTTAAAAAATTGGAACGACAGCCAATGGGGGACAATCTTTTGACCGCAGAAGGTCCATTTTCCTGTTTTGTTTTGTGAGCAAAAAGACAAAACGTTTCTCTGGCATTTGAGTGGCGGTTTCTTTCCCCCTATCCCCTCCAGGGAAGGTTTGGATTTTTAAATATATATATATATATATTATATAAATATATTATTATATATAAATATATATAATAATAGAGGTGGATGACAGCTTTCACCTATTTAAGTATACGATACATTTAATGGGCCTATTTTGTCTCTGCCTAGAGAGAAACACGGAATATTTGTTCCTTGTTATTCTGAGCTCTGCAGCTCTGTTGAAGTGGCACAGATTTCGGGGGGGGGGGGGGGGGTGATTTACCTGGTGGTATCCTTAGGGGGGCTTAGAGTGGGCTTGGAAGCGAGCAGGTAAAGCTTACCCCAATTATTAGATGCTAAGAAAAAGACAAAGAAAAAGGGGAGAGGGAGGGAGAGGGGATGGGAGGATGGATGGATGAAAGGAAAGAAGGAGGGAAGGAGAGGGAGGGGAACAAGAGGAAGGGGAATAGGGAGGGGAAGTGAAGGGGGGAGGGGAAGGGAGAGGGAGAAAGAAAGGGAGGGATGAGGAGAGGAAGAGAGGAAGATGGGGAGGGGGAAAGGGAAAGGGAAAGGGAGGAGAGGGGGACGGGGGGAGAAAATTCAGGAGGGGGAGCAGGACAGGGAGAGAAAGGGAAAGAAAGGGAAAGAAAGTGAGATGGTGAGAGAGAGAGAAAGGGAAGAGGGAGGAATGAGGGAATGTATAGATGGATAGATAGATAGATAGATAGATAGATAGATAGATAGATAGATAGATAGATAGATAGATAGATGATAGATAGGTAGATAGATAGATAGATAGATAGATAGATAGATAGATAGATAGAT